GCCCTCTCCACACCACTCATGATTTTATAGACCTCTATCATCTCCCCACTCCCTCTCCTCTTCTCTCTAGCCACTTTCCCCAGTCTCACCAGCATTTTATTCCCTTCCCCCCTCCCCAGTTTTGTTAAATAAAGGGAGTTTGTGTTTATGAAAATACATGTATTTTATTTGAAATCAGGAAGGGAGGGGTAAGTGGAAGGACGTGAGGGAGGAATGAGGCACAAGCCCCCAGTGGGCAGTCCAGGGAGGCTCTTAGTGCTCTTCACAGGGGAAGCTCTCCTGCAGGGCCTCCTGGATACTAACAGCACCCCGATGGATCTCCTGGATGGCAGCCTGCAGAAAGTGCAGCCAGGCTCACAGCAACACATCCAAGAGAAGCACCATAGTGCCCAGGAGCAGCTCTGACTCCATGTTACAGAGTGCTATGGTGTCCCAAATGAGGGCAAGCAGAGCACGCAGAGACAAAATGCTTTGCTGTCCCTCATCGAGGTAGACAAGCAAGCAGGGAAACCTGAGAACTGGCTGTCCGGGGGGTCCCCTTAAGCACAGATCTCAGATAGCCTCAGGCAGCAGCCTCACACAGTAAGTCCTGACCTGGTGCTCTGCCAGTTCTGGTCAGCCTTAAATGTGATTCAGAGTCCACTCAGTGTGGACGCGCTATTATGAAATAGCAAAACGTTATTTCAAAATGCATTTTGTGTGTAGACGCATTATTTCGAAAGAAGCTATTTCGAAATCACTATTTTGAAATAAGATATTTCAAAATAACACTGTAGTGTGGACATACCCTAAGTGATTTGCCCAAGGTCACATAGGTAGCAGAAACAAAATACAGGACTATGTAGCACCTTAAAGACTAACAAGATGTATAGGTAGCAGGGAACTGAACTCAGGTCTCCTGATTCCCAGGCTAATACTCTCACCACTATAAGTCCCAAGTCCTGTAATTTTAATGTATCTTACATACGAAAAACTACATTAAAAAGATGATAAAGGTGCAAAGTCACACACTGCAACGTTGGTAATACCAGAATTGAAGTCCCTCAAGCCCCAGGCTTAAAAGCCCTAATGCCAGCCCAAGCTGCAATGGCTACACTCCTATTTCTAGTGTGCTAGCACAAATTCTGCTAGCATAAGTCTGTCCACCCAGGTGGAGAGGCTCACTCGTAGCTGCAGTGAAATGTTGGTGCCCCCAACTGGCCAGGGGCACCAACAAGTCAAGATGCTTAGGGAATAGCAGCCAGGCTATGAGTGTGAGCCCAGGAGCAAACTGACAATTGGCTGAGAAAAGGACCTGCTTGTTGGCCAAACTTGAGCTAGTTCAATTCAAACCCGGAGGTCTTGTCTCCACTCAATTCAAACCCTGAGCCCTTGCCTCCAATTACCAGGAGATCAACGCTGTGGGGATCAATCTCCCAGGGTTTGATTTAGTAGGTCTAGTAAGGACACACTAAATCAATCACTGATGATGCCCCTGTCGACTGCAGTATTCTACCGCATCTCAAGGACTAAGTGATGTTGATGGGAGAGTTTTTCCCATCAATGTCTCATAGTGGGGATGCTGTGGAAATTTGATCTAAGGTACATCAAATCTAGCTATGCTATTCATATAGCTGGAATTGTGTATCTTAGTTCGATTTTCTCCCCAAGTGTGGACTATACTCCGTGAAACAGGGGAAGGTATCTATGGCTGTGGAGCTTTTATGGCCTCACATATACAAAGTTCATTTTGCCTGTCTTGCCATCTAAAGATCTGGTTCTGTTTTTACTCACATAAGTGTAAGATGACTAGCACCAACTCAGAAGATGGAACTATATCAGTGAAAAACCAGCAGAAATGAGAGCAAACCCAACCTACACTTCTGCCAGGACATTTTGTTGCATGGCATTAATTATCTTATTTTTTTAGGGCAAGTAAACCTAAAGAATAGCCCACCCTTGCTGATCACTGTACCATTAAACTAACAGCATATGGTTTTTGTCTTGGGATCATCCAACATCTTACAAAGGAAGTGATGCTGGGCAGTTACTAGGCAGCTTTTGTATTCTTTGGGATGGGGGGGGGGGAGAGGATGGTATTTTAATAGATTTCCTTGGGGATCTCTTAGAAGGGTAATTTAATTGTTTAAATTAAATTTGGGACCCCTGTCACAAATCATTACCTTGTCTTTTATCCATCTATCCTCTTGTTCAAACTAGTAGCACATGAACACTGACCTCTATTAGCTTGAATCCCTTCATATGTTTTAACTCATAAGCCTCACTAAAAATGGGTAGGTGACCCATCATTGGTTTAAAAATCATGAAAGAAACAGCTTTTTTCTCTAGTTACAAATATTATTTTCAAGTAAGATGTCAAAACTCATTCCTTTGGATTAAAGGGGCACAAAATAATGGCTGTGCTTTTTTTTTTAAAACATGGACAGAAAAATTAATAAAAAGTAATATGTAATTCGGGGAATTTTTCTAAATATTCCTACTTGATTACTTTTAAACTCAGTCTGAGTGAATTAGCAATGTTTAGTTCACAGTCCTTTTTCTCCATTGTTTTTCAACATTCTAGAATTTTCAACATCCTTTTAAAAAGTTCTTTAACACCTTAATTTGAAGAATTTTGCAGCAGCCCTTTGATCAAGGAAAGAAGGACCTCCTCCCAGTTATGTCTCAGTTCCTCTATTCCTCATCATCTCATGATATTTTCTCCCCTCTCCCACTGTGCATACTACATACCCCCAACTCCTCATGCTCGTCCCCACAACTTCTCACCAGGGTGTGGCTGCACAGTAATCTAGAATCACTTCTCTTACTCATTTCCCATCTGCCTACTTCTCTACTGTCACTCGGCATCCCTACTAGTTACCTTCTTTTCCCCAATGGCCTCTCTATCTTTTCCACAGCTTCCTGCCCCTACACCTTTGCTCTTGTCTGCGTATATAGGCTCCCCATAGTCCTGCCCAAAGAAACTAATACCTGCTTCAAGACAGCAGATTAGAAGTCCCCTAAAAATGGGGAATTCTGAGCTGGCAGAGGAGAGGCTGAGATTGAAATGAAAGATGTGTCAGAGGCAGAGCCAAAACTTAGTGTCCTTGGTGAGTCTGGTGACTGGAGTGGCTCCTTGAGGGTTGTTCTCCATCAGCAGAAGTTAGAACAGCCCAGAAGCTGTGCTAGCTTAATCCACATATTGAGGATTGGGACTGTGTGTAAAACCTCCTATTTGCTATTTCTCAAAGGGAGGGCTCAAGTGTCTGATTTGAGTAACCAGGCAGTGAGGTGCTTGATATTAGTGCTTGTAAAGGTTGATCAGAAGGATCGGTTAGTTATTCCGAAATAACGCTGTTGTGTAGACATACTGTTAATGTGCTCAGCACTGGTCTAGCCATATCCCTATTGAAGGAACACTGAATGCTCTTAAAAATCCCAACCCATTTTATGGGAGAGCCTGTTTTTAACTAATTGGTCTGGGTGATGCCAGTAAGCATATATTTTTAGTTCCATCTTTTTAGTACTTATTAGTAGAAGATTTACCCAAAGTTGCTTGGGTCCTTAACTCAAATTTTGTTTTTCTTTATTTAAATCAGTGTTCTGGGGTGAGTTTTGGGATGAGGGATCCACTATGCAGG